AGAGAGAGAGAGAGGGTGGGGAAGATGGGGCCGCCACTACTCTCCCATTAACGGAATTCAAATTGGGCAAGTGCTATGCAGATGGAAGTGCGTATGTTAGCAGTGTAATTTTATTGAGAAAAATAATAATATAAAAAGTCAGAGAAATTCTACGGTCCTGTTACGGTATCGTCCCGTCAGATGTTTTAACCGTTAGATCCACATATAGTTATATAAAATAGATAATTCAACGGTTAAAACACTTGACGGGATGATAGCGTAACGGGACCATAGCAATCACCAGTATCCTTTGTAATGGTAGCGCAGGTAATTAAAATCTATGTCAAGAGGAATTTCAAAGTGCCTTTGGCTTTTTGACCTTTCTTGTGGACTTTATTATAAAGCAAAAGTCATTTCTAATGCTCTCTAGTTTTTTTTTTTTTTTTTTCCAAACGGCAGATACTATTAATAATAACACGAATAAACACAAGCGGTCAAATGACCGAAAGGAACAACCAAAAGTTGAAACTGAGAAGCGTACGAGTCGAGACGACTGTAGCCTAAAAGGCTAAACAAGCCCACCCTAATGCTCTCTAGTTTAGTTTAGACTCTTTAGAGTAGAAAATGTTGTTTGGTTTAATGCTCAACTTGATGGGTAATTGGATAGACATTGAATTTTGGAAAATAATTATTTGTTTTAGTTGCGACGACGTGTGTTGCATGAGTTATTTGTTTAAAAAATTTTTTTTATAAATATATTGCATATGTTTGTATGAAAAAATAATAATTTTGCAGTCAAATAATTGATTAAGTATTAAATATTGAATCAAACAATAACATTGAAGTGTTATTACTTATAAACATTTAATAAGATATCCTAATAAAACTATTAAATATTAAAGCTCATAACTTAATTTAATACTCCCTCCTATTTTTTTTTAATATCGTTTTGACTTTATCAACTATTAACTAAATAAATGTCGTTTTGGATCTTTTGTACATATTTTTCCATTATTACCCTCATTTAGATTATTAAATACATTATGTCTTTTCATATTCTCTCTTCATCTTTTCTCAAAATATTTATATCTATCTTCATTAAATAAGATTATTATTGACAAAAAATATTCTTAATTAATGTGCAACTTCTCAAAATGACATATATTAAAAATAGGAGGTAGTATAAGCTATGATCACTACAAAAAAAATGTCATATTGCACGGAAAAAAACCTACTGTAATATATTTCAATGGAAATTCCAACAGATATTCCAATTGCATAGCATCCATTGGAATATGAGCTTTCAATTGGAATGTAAATGAAATTTTATCATTCCAACGGTCATTTTTCCAAAGGTTTTTTAACGTAGAAATTTCCGTTATAATTTACAACTTTCGCTGGAATTTTTAATTTCAATCATATCTCAATCGTCGGAAAATGTATCGTTGGAATCATCAAAATCCAACAGAAATTCCAATAAAAAAACTCATTCCAACGGAATATTGTTGTTGCAATCCATTGGAAAATTCAAACATAAATAATAGCATTGGAATATCCATTTGAATTTCCGTTGCAATTCCATTGGAATATATTTCCGTAGAAATTTTCCATTGAAATTTCATCACATCTTTGTAGTGGATAAATGACAATATAAGTTATTGAATTAAAATTAATTTAAAGCTGTTTTAGTCCAAAATTAAAAGTAAATTATGACCCTAATATAACAGAAAAATATTAGTTTTTATTAATTTTATTATTTTAAAGTTTTTCAAAACACTGGTCTAAGGAATGTAAATTGTATTTCTACCAAAGTTGATCTAAGCAAATAAAAAGTTAAAACATGGGCGTAACAAGCACGAAAGTTTTCTCTCCACTTGCGGGACTTTTTTGTCATCAGCTATTTAAGGAGGAGTCAAATGGTTTATTCAGGAGTTATGATGATATTGATTATGATGATCCGAAAATGATTGAAGTTTATGAATTTAAATTATGTCTTGATTATGTAATTTGTACTCTTCTAAAAACAATGGCG